CATATATTAAAAAAAAAATATATATATAATATTATATATATTATATTTATTATTATAAACATTATATTTCTTACATATTACAGGCGCGCACACACACACACACACACACACACACACACACACACACACACACACACACACACACACACACATACACATACACACACCCTCACATACACACACACCCTCACATACACACACGCACTCACACACACTCACACACACACACACACACACACACACACACACACACACACACACACACACACACACACACACACACTCACTAACACAACAAAATGTGCCGGAGCACTATTCTACTAAAAGAGCAAGCTTCGTCCTACAGAAAGTTCTACTCGTGGATTTAACGAGTAACATTTGCTTGGGAAAAGTGCAGGTCAATAACCTTCTCCTCCCTGATTCTTGCCCAGGCCATAATCTCTGGATTGATCTGGAAGTGACTCTATTCTTTCCTGGGTGAACTGTTTTCTGACAAATAGAGCCTGTTGCGTCTGTTAACTTTACCATTTAAATCCAAGAAACAATATTCTGAACTTTATCGTTTTTGTTTCTTTTAATCATTTTAGGGGAAGTTCTTTAATAAAGATCTCCTATATTTAATCAAAAACTATTTTTTTAAATTCAAATCTAGATCTATGCCTTAACAACTTTAGTATCATTTACAACTGTGTGAGCTTCCTCAACAGTATCAAAAAGCACGCAACCTTTCCTACTATTTGTACCGCTCTCAGTACATACTATCATTGTAAAGCTCTTGAAATTGAGTTTCTGGCAAAAAGCCAGACCCTACTCTTAAACCGTAGAATGCCGGACCGTCTTCCATGGTGGATGTGAATCGTAACTAGAAAAAACAACAATGTACAATCGACCATCTATAAACCTAATCTTGTAATAACCTTGTACTGGCAAGTTAATGCATCACAATCACAATGTTTAGCTAGTAAGATGACATTATATTGACGGGGGCTCTCGTGGCCTAGAGGTTAAGGTGTTGGCCTCTCATTCAAAGGTCTCGGGTTCGAATCCGGGTAGCGACCAAAAAATTTTCTTCTCTAAAATTGTCTCCTTTCACATCCTTTCCTGTGAACAATGTTCTGTTGTCTGCTTTCATTTCCACTTTCTGCCCCCACCCCCTCACCTCCTTTGCCCCCTCCTCTGGGCTCCTGACTCTTTCTTCAGCCTTTCTACTGCTACTCCTTGGCTCCTCCTAACTGCTGTCTTTCTGCCACACCCCTGATCTTCAGGTAGGAAAGATCTACACCTAGCCTTCTCGGACAAAGGCGAAAAATCTCGGAGGGCCTGTGTGCAAGTTGCGCACATTAAATATCCCTTGGTGGTCTAAAATCGATAAGAGTAGGCTTCGGCCGCCACCCGGGCAAAATTCAAAATTTCCTACCAACGGAAAAGTATTAGGTGTGTCCCGCGCGCTCATATGACCTTATGCAGTTGCGAGCGCCGTAAAACCCTATACTAAACAAACAAACAAACAAACAAACAATTATATTGACTGGTTTCACTCAGGGAAAGAAAAAAAAGAAAACATTACCATTTAAAGGAATAAATCTCCATTATTTCAGGTAGGTGATGAATCACGTGTAACACGTGTATATTGTATATGTGTGCAATGCAACACAATACCTATTTCCTATTTAGGTCATAATATAAAAGCCGGAGAGTAGATCTGTAGCTCGAGAGTAACCTACAAGGAAAGGAAGGAGGGGAGAGAAGGACTATAGATGTTTGACAGGAGAAAAGGAGTAAACCACATCAAAACATCCGCCAACCACCCACATGCATAGGGTATATAATATAAAAGCCGGAGAGTAGATCTGTAGCTCGAGAGTAACCTACAAGGAAAGGAAGGAGGGGAGAGAAGGACTATAGATGTTTGACAGGAGAAAAGGAGTAAACCACATCAAAACATCCGCCAACCACCCACATGCATAGGGTATATATTATGTTAATGTTTAGGATAGGTTGATATACATTATAACATTATAAACATACATAATATATATATATATATATATATATATACATATATATATT